AGGTATAAGAAAATACCCAACAAAATATCTTTTTATGTTACCTAGTTCTCCTGCCAGACAACTGAGCTTGTTTTTTGGTTAAAGCAGGCAAAAACAAACAACATCATTGAAGTGAAAAAATGTCATTTTTTGAAGTAAATGACGTAAAATTAGTAAAAACATATTTACAATACAAGGAAAGGGGTCAGAAAGGGGGACTTAAATATAAAATATTACATATCTTTATCACAATATTGCACAATCTGACCCCCAGCACCATAATGTCATTGTAAATTTTATACATAGAAAAAAGGGGGAACAACCAGTAGACTAATTAAGAAAACAAAACATGGAAAAAACATTGGCATGTATAGTATACATGTATCTTAGTTGACCCCCTACGAAACATAAAAAAATTATAAATATACATGAAAATAAATGTGCTACATTGCTGCCTGCTATCTGTGTCAATTAAAAAAGTTAGATTCAGTGGACTTGTTTGATGCAACACAATGGAAATGCTTCCAGAATTTATATAATATTTAAGAAAACGTTGATTTATATAACTATGCATATTATGTTTTAGACTTCTATAAAATAGTGCAAGATTGATTTTGATCATTCAGAATAGTTTTCTCCTTATTTCAAGTCGAATGACATAACAGTGCTTAATTTTCTAATATAAATACCGCGTAATTTATTGAAATTTAAAAAAAAGTTATAAAATGTATCAGTAACATTAAATCAATTTTGACTTTAAAAACTGATTTGGTACCAAAATACAGTCAAAATTTATTCACAAGAAATCAACCCTAGGGAATTGAGTATGATTTATTCTTATAAACAAGTAATTCCTTCTCGAAATATTTTAAGGATAACCAATATTTTAATAGATTGTCATGAATCCTCTAAGTTTGAGATGTCCTGATTTTATCATACAGACTTCATGAGTACATGTATATTTCATGAACAAAATATAAACTATATTTCAGACAGGAGAAATTTATCAGTCACGGAGTTATCTGTCACAGTAGGTGAACTTCTGAAATTAGCAATGCGACATATCGTGCATTAAATGCTGAACTCGTATTAAATTAGGTACAGCGTATCTCTGGCAATGCAGTACAATGAACTATTAATAAAACAGGTAAAACGTTCTTCTAGATTTGCACGTGACGCTGCAAAAGAAATATAAATGTGAAGCTAAGCCTATCAGAACGATTCAAACACAGAGAGCCCATAGAACAATTTTAAATATATATAGTAAATATGATTTATATCATGACCTATTTTCAAAACATTGTTTTTAAACAAAAGCAAAATTTTCTTTTACAAATTAGGAATCTTTTCTCAAAACAAGGATTTTTAGGTTGATTATATTATGCTTTGTATGTTCCATTCGAGAATATTCAACTCATATAGAGACCTCACAATATTTTCACGAATTATGGTTCTGCTCTATATATTCTTTTAGAATACTAATAGAAGCAAGCACTCTGTCTCGCGTAATTATGCGAAAAAAGTTCTCGCGAATAAAACGTGATTAACAGTATTACGATTGGCACCACAATTGAAATCGGGGACTCAAAAGTGGACAAATCGTGTGATTATATATGAAACCGAAACTAATCTTGTATTCACGCGTGGCTATCGTGTTGATCATGTTTTTTTTTTTCGACCGTTTTCTACGATTATCGTATTGCATCGTACATGTAACTAACCTCAACTGTATCATAAGTAAACGTATTAAATCTGGCTTTCATATTGTGATCATCGATCGGGATCGATCTCGGACAGGACAAACATCCAACTGATTTGCGATTCTTTTGCGATGTCCCACCTTCTGTCACTATCTGTCACGCTTGGCGTGGTCCTACTGCCCACGAGCTGACATGGTATTTTCCACACAGATACGATTTGATACGGGCACATTAGAATAAACGCCATTAGCTAGATTCGAATGTTTACGCTTATGCTATATAACGAGTACTTACACTTGCATAAATAACGGAAAAAAAAATTCATGCGTTTCTTTCACCAATTGAAAAGAGGATGTCAGTTTTGCAAAATATTTGAATATGCCGCACAAGGAAAGCAGAACAAAAGCGGGTCAAGAAAGGAATACTGCGGACGATCTTATCTCTGCTGAACCTAAACCAGTTAAATCAGACGCTACACAGGAGGTAAAAAGAAGACAGTTAATGCCCTTTTTCCTCGTTTTTGACAGCAATAACACATGAATATAGTAATACTACAAACATCACATTCATGGCGTTGTTTATGTTGTCATTAACCCGAATTTCTACCAATCTCATTGATTGTACATGTATGTTTTTGTTTTGTTAACTTTTTAATAGAGAAAAATATATAATGGACTCAGTATAGTCAAATTGTTATATATTTGTCGGGGTAAAATCGTAGCTCAAAGTTTGAATTCATCTTGATCCTGATCCTGCAAGTCATTGCAATGAAAGTGTTGTTCTATTGCAAATTTCTGTGAAAGCACAAAATTTCATGGTGGTATAATTTTTTATGTTTTCGAAGTATGAAGAGACCCACGAATTCATATCCACCACAAAATGTAAAATGTCACACACATAACTACTCAACAATTCTTCATTCACGAATTCAAATCCTCCCGAACCTAGAGTTTTTACTCAAACCACGAAACTTTGACCCCATGAAAACATGTGATTTTACAGTATTGCAGGAGGGTGCAATGAACGTATTATATCGAAGAGTACATAAAATGTATCTATCGTGACCATACCGCATCAAACGTAACGAATCGTTTGAAAATGTGCATATGTGCATCTCTTCGAAACTTGGCATAAAATTCAATAAAAACTCTCTGCGATCAGATACGAATGTGGCGTTCGTAACAGACCGCACGACAGTTAGAACGTATCACAAAGGGCTTCAAATTCTGACCTTTAGTCGGCACAATTTAGCAGTGAGGGATCTTTGTCATGCTAACGTCTACCGTGACATGAAACTCTCATCCAAAAGACTCGCAACTTACAAGTCAACGCGCCGAGCGATAGCGAAGGAACAGTTCCACCTACATGTATTTTTTTCATCGACTTAGGTCAGCCGTGGCCGCGCTTCGAACTCGCGAACTTCCAAAGATGGAGCAAGCGCTCTACCGAGCAACCGTAACGGTCAAAGATTTTAGAGAAATCGTTCTGGTTTGCTTAAAATGTGATTGCTTATATACTCCTCCATCGCACCTTTTTAACAAAAATGTACTACTTGCATAATTAACAATAGTTAAAGGGACATGGACACAGTTTCAACTGAAATTTTGAAACCAATTTTAATGCTTACAATTCCTACCTAAGGCATCATCTAATGATCAGCAAAATTTTGAACATCATTTATTGATTAACAAACGAGATACAGATTTTTCAAAAAGTTCTTCAAAATGTAAACAATAATCGTGCCTTGGTTTTGTTTGCATACAGAAAATATCATATTAAAATAACAAAATGAAACTCAGCAAATAACTACAAACTGGTTTATTGTATTTAGAATTAACTTCTTCATTGAAATTATCTGCTTTGAACAAACATATATTCGTATATTAACCATGCAAACAAACCTGACACAGACTCTAAAAATAACAAAGGTTTGGAGTTCTTAATTTGTCTTGTATCTCGACAACTGAAGTTTAAATTTTTGATGATCATTAGAAAGACCTTAGTAAAATATTTGTAAAAAAGGAAAAAAAAATTTTTTTTAAATTTTTTGCTTAAACTGTGTTTATGCCCCTTAATACTTGAAGACTTCAAAAAGATCTCTTCGAGTAGAGTTTCTTACTCACTTCGATTCAACTCAAGGTGATTGTTGACCATATGCTGCTAATAATTGATAGTTTGATTGTCTGCCCAGGCTGTACACGTGTATCCAGAGTTTTGAAAAACTTAACAATCTATGAGGAATTAGTGAATGGGAAACTTAACCCGAAAATATCAGAGTATTTACTTTACTTTGCTACAAAAGTATAATTAATTCTAGTCAGAACCAGCGTCGAAACTCTGTTTTAGATGCCCCTGTTTTCTCTGCTTCCAAGTGTTGGTGTTCCAATGGATTCTTTGTATCTGTTATTAATCTTCATATTCCACATCTTACCTTTGCTTAGCATTTTGGTGCCTTACACTAATATTTTAAACAAGAGAAAAAGACAGGATATGCTAGAATATAAATATTTTCGCAGAGATGTATATGTATTCAGTTTTAAACAAATTGTTGTTGAAAATTATTTGTCAAACTTAACTCCATAATATACATACGAGTAATAGAAATTGTAAGCAGAATTGTGACTTTGCACCCCAAGATGGCGAGAATGACTTATGATTGCATAGTGTAAAAAAAAATTCAAAATATGAGACGACATAATAAAACTACAAACGAGCATGGAACTTGGATGGATGTGTTTTCAGTTGTAGGGTTCATTAGTTTTTGGCATCAAACACAGTCCCACTTGAACAATTTATCGCTGTTTCTTTGAACTCTGAATGGATTTTTCTCTACGCAGAATTCATGAATTATTAATTTTATAAAGGATGTGTCTATCGGTAAAACAATCTTATAAGGATTAATATTAAAATTATCTTCTGTAAGACATCTGGCAGATTTTTTAATATTCAGTACCCAGGAATCATTCATAACAGAATACATTGCATGCTATAGTGTGTGACTGTGGAAAAGTTCCTTCTGGGCTGGATTTCTTTTGCAAAATTGTTAAGATGCAATATAGGGAGATAACGGACAATTTTCAAGCTCCAAATTAAAGTTCATTTAAAAATACAAAATATAGGAGCAGGGCAAACAAAATATCAAAGATTTTATTGTTTCAAAATTGAGATTTGCATTAAAGAATCGAATTGGTGAAAAAAAAGACTTCAGAAAGCAAAGACAACTCAAAATAAATATTCAATATCAATGAATTTGTAATAAAATAAAATACCCATATCGAATGAAAAAATATTTAAGAATAAATATTTTATAATGTAATTTATAAGAATCAAAACAAATTGCTCTGCCATCTTTATTGATACACCTGTGAAAAAAATATACATCTAATTATTTCCTCAAAATAATTTAGGCTTTAGTGTAATAGGTAGATTTATCCGGAACCTGTCCCGCGTTACATTCGTCTGTTACACAACAGAAGTGACAGCTGTATTGCCCCGTCATTGGGACATTGCCGTAGTTGGTGCAGTATTCCAGGTCTGACGTCTGGTGGAGCCACTTGTTTCGGCACTCCTCCTCTGTCACACATCTGATTAATAAAAGAGTCATTAATGTTGATGGACTCCCAAATATCAAAGGTTTTCTTCTGTTTGTTCTTCAAGGAATTTAATATGAGTGTAAACATGCTTGCATCATTTTGTTTTCTAAATGTCAAAGTGTAGAAAAAAAAGTGATCGAAACAATATTAATATGTGGAGCGGGCTTAAAAAATAGAACCCTTGTAATTCAAGAGTTGGGGTCAGGTTCCTAGAAGGATAAAGCAAACTCATTTAACATACATGTCGAATTAAGGGCAACATCAATGTTTTCCTCTTTCCAAGCAGAAGTACTTTTTTAAAAGTCTGTTACACATGAATTAAAAAAGCAGGTCTGCTTATAAAGGAGCACAATTAGTCCCCATACAATTCCAAAAACTTGTTAAAAATCTTTGTCTCTGAAGACTATATAAATGTTTTGAGGAACTCAAGCATATTCAATATCAACTTAAGAGTACTTGTGTGTACAGACAGAGAGGTTTCTTTACGAAATAATTTTGCTGATGACAAATTACAAGCAAGGAAGGTTTCCATTTACCGTTGTCATTAATGTTAAAGATTTGTTAAGATATTTTTGATTTTAAAATTTCCAACATTCCAAATTTTTTTTTAAGTTTCGAAATCCAGTACTGGTACATGTAAGTTAGATCAAAATCTTCTTGGCAGGTTGGAATCTTAAAAATATTAAATAATAAAATGTGACATTTAAAAAAAAATGTCCTTGGATAGCAAAATTTTGTGTACATATTTGAATTACAGACGTAAAATTTAAACCAGGTTCTTCCAAACTAGTAACACATGTATGATAATGAACCATAGCAACAATGAGTTTTCGTTAACCAGTTTTCATTCATGAAAACTAGACGTGCATTGCGACTTCTTGTGAAAATCAACAGGAAAATATAAAAATATTACTTATAAATCGACGAACGAACTGTATTTCCATTTCTTTCACTTTTCAATAAAGAATTTTTTGCAATGGTATTTGTGATTTTTTTCATGTAATGCTGTTACATATATTATATATATATCACTTTAGCGTTAAACATGACCTTTTATATGTTTGTGTGTTGCCTGATCCGTCATGGACAATATCAGTCATGCAGAAATGTTCATTCGATGCACAATTTTGTAAATTTCCCAAGTAAATTGTCCTCGTATCACAGGAAATAGATGAATTAGCGTCTCTACATGTATGGCACTTTCTGACGCCTTTGATAAATAATTAAACAACAAAATGCCATTTACACGTAAGTTAATGATCATGAAATTCATTTATAAATAATGTATATGTAAAAAAAACTAAAGAAAATGTAATGTTATTAATCTTTATGGCAATACAAATAGCGAACAGTGGGAAAACAAGGGCCTCCTGCATAGACCACAGTTGTGATCAATGCCTAACCCATGTTTGCTAAAACATACAAAGCTCGTCCATTTGTTTCAAAAGATGTAATTATGGGGAATCAAAGAATAAGATATACCTGCGAATATTGGAGGATTATTGTGCGATGATGGTGAAGTTGATGGTACAGATCTTGTACTTGTGGTTGTCTCAGGAGATGACGTTTTCATCGTTGTCGATTGCACCGTTGTTGTAAAATCTAATAAAAACGCAAGGCGGAATAGCAGTCTTTTATATTTTTCTGAGAAAGTAATACTCAAAGATTTTATTTCAGCAATCTCATTTAAAGTCATCATTTCATAAGTTCTGTGGTTGATACAATGAACTTGTCATCAGCAAATGCAATTTATCATTGACGTCATATGCTGACTGACGTATTATGTTTATCAGACTAATAGCTAGTCCATTATTTAGGACTAATTTTTCACGTTATTTCCTGATCATGACAAGGAACAGAAGGTGGGTATAACTGCTCTTTCCTCCATCGCACTTGACGATATTTTAGATAAACACAAAAGAATTTTAAGTAACATACAGGGGATGCAAATTGTTGAGAAATGGTACATGTAAAACACTAAGTTATCCTTTTTTCATTCGAGTACTCAATGGATATATAATCAAGCAATGTTAATTGATTACCGAAACATATCAGTAGGAATCAGCAGATTTCTTTTATATGCAGGGAATAAATAAAGTTTTTTTTCTTTTCGGGAATTTATATATAGTAAAGTATTGTAAGGGCTACCTAAAAGAATCGGCAAATTGAAAGTTTGTTTATGCCTCCTCCTATGAGAAATATCAGCCTGATAGTGCAGTGAAAAACAACCAAACACAGATATGCAGTTTTGTCGAATATGTCATTTAATTCAATGACGTAAAGTAAAATGTAAAACAAATCATTAAGGGGGATCACCTAATATTAAACAATACAGGTTACATGTACATAGGTGAAAGGTACAAGTGTGATCCCCCTGAGACTGACTAGAAATTTACATGCAGTGAACATATCAGAGTACATGTAAATATGCATAAAATATAACATAAATGAGTAAATCCTTGGAGGCGTCCAAACAATTGCGCCAATCCAAGAAACGTATGACAAGTTATAAAATATTAATATAAAACCAAAAACCCCAAAAAAGGGTGGGTGGTGGGTTTTTTTCCAAGGCACTACCAGGCTAACAAAAATGGCGCAACAAAATCAAGGATTTTGATTGGGTTACTCTGTCAAGCAAAGCAATGCTTGCGCTTTCGCAATGAAAGGTTATATGATAATTGCATTGCGATAAAGGCGCATATCCTGCAGACTGCGCAGGGATATGCAGAATTATCTAAGGTGTAAAATATAATATATTTCTCATAGCGGCATAAATTGAATTATCTGTGATAATATTGTTTTTCTTCATAAAATCACTATAATTCTAGTAATCAATCTTCTACAAAGGTCAAGTACATGTTTAAAAAACGCCGCCGTCTCCTTTTATTCTGACGTCATGGACTAGTTCTAAATCTAAATATTTATACATATACATGTATCTATGCCTATAGGTCTGAAGTAGTTTTACTGAAATATTTTCTGGTCGACAAACCTCTTAACAAAATCATTCTTTCTTGTATTGAAAATGATATGAAGCAATTTTGATTGGTTATAAAGACAGATTATAATTGCTTAATAGTGGTTATCTTGGAGAGAGTGGTCAAATGTTTACAGGCCTATGATACCTACTTTCACAATGTCTGATGTTTCAATTAGCAATTTCAGAACAAGATAGAAGTAATAAAAAAGAGATAAGAAATGTTTTTCACATACTTGTTGGACTACACTGACAGTTCCGTTGATGCACATCGTCTGAATTGTGTTCACAGTGTGGTGTTTTTCCTGCTGGACAGGTACAATCTTTGTCACTTAGACAAGCTAAAATAATTGGATAAGAAAATGTTAAATATCCTTCGAGAATTGTGCACTTATTAATAGAATGAATAATATTATTTTAATGAAGTCGAAACTGTCATCTAATAGCACATTGATATCTTCAACCAACAAACCTTTGTCAAGTAGCCTATATTTATATGATGTATAAGTATTGAATACCAAAAATACAATAATTGTCTACAAACCAATACAATCACATGTTCTAGTATGATGGGAAAAGAACCCATGATGACTTCTGCAGTAGGGAAATCGAGCTTCTTTCGGACAGACATGAGATGTACAGTCAAAATCATCTCTGCAGTCAGTGGCTGTCAAGGCAACTATAATGGATAAATTTTAACAGCTTTACAAAGTTCATGTAAAACAGTGTTAAAAAAAACAACACACACTGTATTAACACCGTCGATATTTGAATTAATTGATTTCTTTAATTAATAAATCTTATCTGAAATTTTCGTCGAAGAAAAAATTATCATTTTACATACCTGCATGTGTGACACTTTCTGAAAAAATGTAACAAATCAGTAAACGCAAAAGAAAAAGTTAACTAAAATTATACATATATAAGTCTAAATATAAATTTGGGTAAATAGGGATTGGAGGATGAAAAGAACTCCGTAAGATTAATTTCAATAAATCGTTTGGATACCATCATGTTGATAATTTCTTGACTCCACTTTCATTAGTCGTTTGCTTTAAAAGTTTTGCTAAAAGATACATCTTGAGTACAAAGAAAAGAAAAACTGGCCAGCGATAAGTTCACAATAACAAAAAACCCTGAGATTTTAAAACTTAAACAAAACACATTTAACTTTTCTTTAGATGGTTAAAACCGCAGTTAATTGAAATTCAATAAAATTTTCTTTATAGAAAAAATTTTCATACCTGAAGTTTTGACGACATTAACTACAAAGAAATCAATACATCAATTATCTTTGAGGAAATTTGGTTACCTGTTAGCAAGGAGTTCTGTATTCTTTTTTTTTTTACATCGTTTAAATAGTCGACATCGCAGTGATGGATAATATCCAGTCGATATCATATCGACATTGACTTCTGTTTTCCTGTTCATATCATTGACATCGTCAACATTTCAATGTTGGACAATATCGAGTCAACCGTGTCAACATTTCCTTCAGTTTTCTTGTTTACAGTGTTCACATCGTCTTTTGTTGGACGATATTCAGCATTGCATGTTTTATTTTTCAGTATTTTTCTTGTCTAACTGATTGTCCCAAACATTTTCATTATCATTGATTAATAAAATAACAGCATACAGACTTGTACATTACCTTGTATAGATTATGAGAAGCTTATAGATTTGATGTTTCTTAAAATGAAAAATAACTAAAGTGCTGACGTCCCAATGATAATAGCTTGTATAGTAATAATCAAGCTCCTTTTTATAATGAATATATTCTAAATTATACAATGCCTTGAATAAAAATACTTTATTTTAAAATATTGTTATAAGACATGTAGTCTTTGACCTCATTACATTCCCTAAATTATATTCTATCAGTAAAAAGGAAACACAATTAGGATAACCACCTTACTTTTTTTTTTATCTTTGGTCTGCATTAAAAAACGTTGAGAGAGAAGCAATGGCTATTTTTAATTAGAAAAAAAATATTTTGAATATCTATCTTTGATGTTGATAATTTCTTGACTGCATTGTCATTAATCTTTTGCATCAAAGGCTTTGCTACAAGATACATATTGAGTACAAAGAAAAATAAACCGACTAGCGATTAATTCCAAATAGAAAAAAAAATACTTATTTTAATATACAACAAAACAATTAACTTTTCTTTTGATGGTTGAAACCGAAGTTGATTGAAATTCATCAAATTTTCTTTATAGAAAAAATCATACATGTTGTTGTGACGACATTAACTACAAAGAAATCAACATATCAGTTATCATTGAAGAAAATTAGTAACTTGTTAATATTGGGTTCTGCATTCTTTTAAGATCGTTTAAATAGTCGACATGAAGGACAATATCTAGTCGACTTTAAATCTACATTGTCTTTTGTTTTACTGTTTACAACATTGACATCGTCGACATTACAATGTAGGACAATATCGTGTGAAACTTGTCAATATTTCCTTCTGTTTTCTTGTTTACATCGTTCACATCGTCTTTACTGTAATATTGGCCATGGAAGATATAAACTAGGTATCAAAACATAATGAATGTATTGCACGGTAATCAATGAAGACATGAATACTGTAACATTGAAAATGATGTACATTTGATTGATATCAAGTCAACAATGTCTATGTTATTTTTCTCAATTATTCTTATCTCCGTGTTTGACGAAAATATTATGACATGATTGTTAAGTATAACAGCAAAGATACTTGTATTATTTTGTATGGATTCTGAAATGGATTCTTAAAAGCATTTCAACGTGATGTTTATTAATATGAAAAACAGGTCTGTGAGCCAATGCTCACTAGTAATACCCTAAAATGTCTGATGTAAATATACACTTAGTCTATCATATTAAAAAAAAATAGAAGTTCAATTACGGACAGAGATAAGGTATGCAGGAAAGGAACATTGGATTTGAACAAAAAGGATCTATATAATATACCATGCCTCTAAAAGTGCTTTAATTTCAGGTATCCGCAATAAATATTTGCCGAGAAAACTGCAGCAATATTATTCTATGTATTGTACGGACAGAGACCCGGATAAACAGGAAGTTGATATCGGATTGGAACAAAAATGAATCCCATTAAATGCTATGCCTCAGCAAAGAATTTGTTAGCATTTCAAATATCTTCAGTTTCCGAAAAACAAGAGGCCCATGGGCCACATCGCTCACCTGAGCATTGTGGCTAGGAAAAGTAGAAAAAAATTGGTTTATTATTGAAAAGTTTAAATCCAAAAGTAGTTCCATGACCAATCATGGCTTTGCTATTCTTGACAGAATGATTTTAAAAGAATTTTTCAATATATGTTTATGTAAAACTTTTATCGGCCATCGTGGCCTTGCACTACCTCCGGGGTCATGATTTGAACAAACTTGAATCTGCACTACCTGAGGATGCTTCCATATAAATATGATCAATGATGTCCTTGGTATTCTTGAGAATAAGAATTTTAAAGAACTTTTCTATATATTTCTATGTAAAAGTTTGGACGGCTATTGTAGCCCCGCCTTACCCCCGGGGGTCATGATTTGAACAAACTTAAATCTATACTACCCGAGGATGCTTCTAGGATGCTTCCATATAAATACATGATCAGTCATGGCTTTGTTCTTCTTGAGAAGAAGATTTTAAAGATTTTTCCTATATATTCCTATGTAAAACTTTGATCGGCCATTATGGCCCCGCCCTACCCCAGGGGTCATGCTTTGAACAAATTTGAATCTATACTACCTGAGGGTGTTTCCCCATAAGTTTCATTTTTCCTGGCACAGTGGATCTTGAGAAGATTTTCAAAACATGTCACCAAATTTTCACTAAGTCCCAATTATCTCCCCTTGAATGAGGGCGTGATCCTTCATTTGAACAAACTTGAATTCCCTTCATCCAAGGATGCCTTTTGGCAAATTTGGTTGAAATTGCCCAGCGGTTCTTTAGCAGAAGTCGAAAATGTGAAGTTTACAAACAACCGGACAGCTAGTCAGACGGAGCCAGACAAAATGTGACCAGAAAAGCTCACTTGAGCCTTCGACTCAAGTGAGCTAAAAACTGTTACGACAATGTGTTATGTATTATACGGGTGTTGCAACCACTATTGAAATAACAACCACTATTGGAATTATTATTTCAATAGTGTTCGAGGGTGCTTTTCAATAACAAACATAGTTTGCAACCACTATTGAAATAAGACTATTCTTGAAAGAATTATTTCAATAGTGGTTGAGAGTGCATTTCAATAACAGACAAAATATGCAGCCACTATCGAAATACCACGACAATTGAAAAAAATATTTCAATAGTGTTTGAGTGTACAATTCAATACCAAAGATAGGTTGCAAAAACTATTGAAGTAATGTTCACATTTGGAATAAAGTTTTCAATAGTATTGAAATAATGATTTCAAATTGATTTAAATAATTATTTTGATAGTTGTATTTTGATACTAACTTTCCTAGTAATTTTACTTTTCTTGACGAGTAGACATTGGCTTTACTATCTGTGTTTGTAGTGTAGGTAATCCCATGAATATAAGCAACAATTAAGTTCTATTCTAAATTCTTTTATTAAAAATATCCATATCAATTTTCATCAGAAAGTTTGTACACAAAATTATCAGTCTTCTTCCTTCATTTCATTGTAGTATTGGTATTCTAATTTCTACATCGATAAGTATTTACTAGTATGATCCTTTCCTTTTAAAATCAATTACAAAAATGAACTTTATAGAACAAATTATTTCAAAATTGCATATATTAATTGTCTTTTGGTTTTTGCCGATTCGACCAGATTCAGCGGGAGCTTGCTTATAACATTTGCATACATGTTTGAATTATAGGTCAGTCAGTATAATACGAAGTGTCTATGTATTAATTAAAATTTCTACAAAAAGAGGAAAACTGAACGACTTTAGTTATCATGTTTTAAATTCAACAAGTTAGTCTATTGTGCTAGAAAACAGAAAGTGTAATTCATCTATATATTTGTTTTTATATTTGGGATATTCTATGTGTGTGTGAAATCATTGTCAGCAACTATTAATCATTTTAATATCTATTGGAATCATTGTTTAAAGCTCTATTGAAATTAATATTTCAATCACTTTTGAAATCTATATGTAAATCACTTTCGAAATATTTATTTCAAAAGTAAACATTATTTCAACAGTGGTTGCAACCTATGTTTGTTATTGAAATGCACTCTCAAACTCAATTGATATAATTATTTCAATAGTGGCCATATTTCAATAGTGGGTACATACTATGTTTGTTATTGAGATCTACTATCAATCATTATTGAAATAATCCTTTCAATAGTGGTCGTATTTCAATAGTTGTTGCATACTATATTTGTTCATGTTTTTATTGAAATGCACTCTCAACCACTATTAAAAGAATTATTTCAATAGTGGTCGTTTGTTTAGTAGTGTTTGCAACATCCGAACAGACACTCAAAAAATTTAGGAAATTGTCAATTAGTTAGAACAAAAATAAATCCCACTAATGACATGCCTCCACAAAGAACCTGCAAAAGATTCATGCTTATGTGAAGAATAGTTGCTTAGAACACTGTGACGAAAATACGTTATGCATGGTACGGATAGACGCACAGATAAACAGAAATTTGACATTGGATTTGAACAAAAAAGGGTCTCTATGTCAATAATACATGGCTCAGCAAAGAATATGCTGAAGTTTTATGTATTCGGAATAATATGTTACTGAGAAAACTGCGGCAAAAATGTCTTATGTATGGTATGGACAGAGGTACAGATAAACAGGAAGTTTACATCGGATTAGAACGGATTAGAACAAAAAAGGATACCATCATACACATGTATGGCATGCTCTAGCAAAGAATGAGATAAAATTTCATGCAACTGCAATGAGTAGTTACTGAAAAAACTGCAACAAACGTTTTGTTGCGGACACAAACACGGACAGAGAGCTAGACAGACAGACAGACGGACGGACATGCACACAATGGTAAAACAGTACACCCCCACTCCTTTTGGGCGGGGGTAT